CATGGTCACCCCAGCGTCGACTTGCTGGGCTCAGGCGATCCTTCCGCCTCAATCTTCCAAGTAGCCAGAACTACAGATGCGCACTACCATGCCCGGCTAATTTTTTAATTTATTTATTGTAGAGATGAGGTCTCGCCAATTTGCCTGGGCTGGTCTCGAACCCACAGACTCAGGCAATCCACTCACCTTGGCCTCCCAAAGTGCTGGGATTACAGGCTGAGCCACCGAGCCCCGGCCTGTGAATTCTCTTAATGCCTGTGGTAAGTAAATGTGTTATGTCTGACACAGCTGGGTTGCACTTTCATCAAACCTAACACGTCCACCTAGGTGGAAAGGAGGATTTCTCATTAACTATTAGACAACTAAAGTGTTCCTTAAAGACCCTAATAATCATGATCTTCCAATTAATGTAAGTTGGTTTGCTGCAACAAGCAAACTACATTCCAGGAGAAATATCTCTCAGGAGAAAAAAAGTGAAACTAATATGTCTGCCTAAAATATTATCAACAATTTTATGAAGTTCTAATTATTTAATTCTAATTATTAACATCAACACTATGAGGTGGGATTATTACTATATTATATTTAATATCATTATTTTTAATGTATGGATGAGGAGACTAAGAGAGAAATAATTATCTAAGGTCTTACAGGTAGTAAATGTATTCAAACACAATCAGGTATGGGCTTTAACCACCCCATCATGTTGCCTCTACTCACTGAGTGAAAACAATTTGTGAAAATGGTTCCACAGCTCTGTTTGGAATTTGGAAAGATATTAATGAAATATTTGTCTATGTAATGTATTATGTATAATTGAATATTCAAATAAAAAATAAATGTGCTACTATAAAATAATTATAATTTTGCACGGTTTTAGTAGTAAACAATATATCGCACAATAAATTATGTGGCAATATATGTTCAATCAAAGTTTGTCATGTGCATATGTTAGGACTTAGTGAAGGAATTCATGGTTGCAGATGGTGTAAGAAATGGAGTTGAGCAAGTGTACTACATTTTTATTTAATAAAAAGGAAATATCTTTAAAATTGATGGATTGAAAAAATAATATAAGCAGGAATACTGAAGTGAAGACTAAATAACTCACAATAAAGTGGAAAATAATGACCTATTGGGAATAGCCCTTAAGCTGAAGTAGATGGGGTTGGTAATTTCTACCTTCATTTTCAGTTTCTGATAGACTTGACTTTTAAATGTATTATTGTAGCATTTTAAGTGTATTATTTTGACAACAATTTAAAACTATATTTGTGTGTATGTGTGTGTGTGTGTTAGAAATGCATTTTAGTGGATATCCTTTATATTTTTAAAAATTATTTAGCAGAGCTTAGTCAAACAAAGCTGAAATTGATTTATTAAGAGAAAACTATTTTCCCTAGCAAAAATTAAACCAACTCTACAAAAAACAAAGCCTCCCTGGAGCACCAAAGTAGTTTAACCAACCATTGCTCAAATAGATGTGTCAGACAAAAGTATCAGCAAACTTGGAATTTCATTTATGTATTTATTTTAAAGATATGGCGTACAATTCAGGATTAGAAATACAAGTAGACATCATACAGGTAAAGTTTGGACCTCCCTTTGGTCCCCATTTTGCCTAGTTTGAGATCAGGAACCCCAAATTTCATGTCTTTTATTTCCTCATGCACTGTCTTCTCTTTTAAAATGTCAATGATTTCAGGAAGTCCACAAGCTAAATTCCTCAGTGTAACAGTTCAGCCAAGTATCTTTCTTTTAATAGGAAGAAGTAGAAGCAACATAAGCAAATACGAAACAAAAAACGCTATAAAAAAAGAAAGAAGGAATTACATCAATAACAATAACATCTTCCATTTCTTTCAGGTAGGCAAAAATGTCTATCACATTTTCTGCAAAAAGAAACTTCTGACCTAGTTGCTTCATAAGTAAAGGGAAGGAGTTTGAAGAGATGATTCGTAAGATCTCCTTGAGCTTTAACTTTTTTACTATGAAATTTTTCTACACTAATCCAATACATCACCTTAATTATCTCACTGGATCAAAAGACTGCATATTTGTCAGGGCAAGTGCATCATGAGTAAACTTAGACTTAGTTTAACCCTAACCCTAGTTCTAATCTTAACCCTAATTCTAACGCTTTATGATGTTTACATGGCATATACAAGATCAAACAACTACTAAGTTGCACAAGGAAAACTCTAACTCCAATTTTTTTTTAACCATGTATCTAAGGCTCTTCACTATGTTCCTACTTACAGAGTTGTGTAGATCAAAATACTTATACCTTTCAAGGTGATACATGTGCCTTGTGTGTTTATTTGTTCATTGATTCATTCAGTGAACATGTACTGAATTCCTACTATGTGGAAAGCCCCATGGACTTTTAAAATATCAAACTGTCACTAGATAGAGAGTGCTAAAGCCATATTATTACACGTTAGGCTTCCTTTCTGCCTCTTTGCACTTTCTGATAAGGATGGACAATGTATTTTATTAATGTTCACATCACCTCATATAACTCAGACATTGTTACCATTTTCTGAATTTAATTAATTCAACTTACACTTAAGCAGTTCCAGAGAAGAGTTTAAGTCCTCATTCTCCAGAAATCAATATTAAAGGAAAGGCAGTTTAGCTTGTTACAGGAAAAATAAAAATACAAATCGAGATTATTCCAACCATGGAAACTATTTTATGTTTTTAGTCTGGAAACAATGATATTCAAATCTGGCAAATATTGTAGATGGACATTTTTATTTTATCATGTCTCTCAGAGTCCTTAAAATGTGATTGTTATCATATGTGTACAAAATGAGAAGGAAGAGTCAAGAATTATTTCCAGATTTCTGGTTTGGGAGACTGACTATGACAATAGTGTTGCTCAAAAGTATAAAATGACAAGAGCAGTTAGAAGTCAAGGGACATGGAGGATTTCATATTAGATATATGCCCTTAAGACATAAAACAAGAGAAGTCTAGAAAGTAGATTTTAATAGTATACACATATACATTAGGAAGTAGTTCTTCCAGAAGCTAGGTTGGGGACATGGACTCCCGAGTTTTAATAGAGGGAGTGGTTAGAATCATGGAATCATGCAGGAAGTATGCATAGAGTAGGAAGAGCACAGAACAGAGGAAAGGATCTCAAAGGGCTCTGAATGCCAGAAACACAGTTAGAGGAGGGAAATAGCTTTGGGATGTAGACAGAGAGAAGTCACCAGAAATGGGGAGGAAAAACTGGGAAAGAATGATGTCAGAACAACTAAAAGGAACACTTAATAAAAGGAATGGGTCAGTATAGTCAAGGATCAAGTACACTCATCAGCCAAACTTGAATAGGTTAGGAAATATGAAGATCATTGCTGAATTTTGTCAGAGCAATTTTAGAGTAACAGAATTAGAAATCCTGTTTTTGTGGATAGATCATGAGTGAAATGATAAACAGGAGGAAAAAGATTGGAGGCAGCCAGTACACTATGCTCATTTTCCTACAAGGAACATGTAGCAAGATTTGTGTCATAAAATTGATAAATAACTGAAATCGTTTTGCTAACAACAACAACCAAAAACAGATAAGAGAGTAGTTGGAAGAGGCTGTGTAGATTTAAAGATCATCTGTGTTTAAATCCTGGGGGTTTAGAAAAAGAAGACAAAGGGACAAAAATAAAATAAAATAAAAAGCAGAAGAGGAGAAAATTGTGCAAAGCAAATAACACTTGGCTGTTTCCTTAAAATAGGTATGAGTGTATCTGGAGGGCTACCAAGAAATCATATCTAAATCAGATCTTAGTCTAGAAAAACCATTAAACATAAGTGCATTTTCCAGTTGAGAGTGTAAGGCTAATACTCAAAAAAGGCTAATATCTCCATAATTTTTTACAACAAACTAGGGCTAACCCTATGAGGTGGTCCATTACTATTTTAGAGATGACAAAACTGAACTCTAATTGACCTACGGAGGTTCAGAAAAGGTCGTTATCATTCAATGCTCTCTCCTCTTCACTGTTCTCTGCCTTTGATAATACACATGTGAACAGTGCTAAATGAGTCATATAAATTCAATTTCCTGATGCTAGAAGAAGATGGACTTTGAAAAACAAGAGGATAATAATTAACCAACAGAATCACGTCTGAAAATGAGGGGGTTTTGTTTGTAAAGAAGCATGACAATTTTTTTTTTGTCAAATATAAGAAGTGGAAGACACATTATCTTACATGCATATTAAAGAAAAAAGTAACAGTGTAACAGAATGTCTTGTGAGGGACTAAATGCAAAATATGTGTTATAATGAGTAAAAATCATCTCATTTTAATGAAATATTTGGAATAAATTATTAAAATACAGTAGAAAAGAAAGATACAAAAATCATTTTCATCAAACAGTGTATGATACCATGTTTAGTGTTAAAATTGGGTATAGCTGTTCAGATATCATTACAATATTTCTCAAACATATTTTTTAATTTCTTTTTTATTTAATCAAACACATTACAGCATCTGTTTTATTTTAGAAATAAATAAGTTATGTCCACATAAACAAAAGGCATTGACCTTCTTTTCTTTGCACTTCATTTTTTTAAAAAAGATCATCTAGAAGAAAAGTACTTTAAAATCTCCTTTTGTTGTACTGGAAATTAAAACTGCCTTCAGTTGCCTGCTGGCAAATCAGGTCTAGATATGTGTACATGACAACATCTTTTGAGCTGTGAATTAGGAGTGAAAATTGCCCTGAACTTTTGTTTCATGTTCTTGAGTTTGGCGTGAGAATTTCCTTTACTGGGCTGCCTAGGTACCAAGATTCTGCAGTTGTTGGAGGGGTTAAAGTTGGAACCACTAATGCATATATATAACGGAGGATTCATAAGAACACGACAGTGGAGCTTGGGTCAAGCCATTACTGTGAACAAGGAGTGACCAATAGAAAAGGAAGAAGAAGATCCAAGAAGGCTGAGGTAAGCAGTCTTCTGAAGCCCTGTCAAAGTGGAAACAATAGATCAAAAGGTGTTCAGGGTAGCTGTTCCGGGTAGGTTTTACTTTTTCTCATAGGCTTGACAGCATCAAGAAAAACAATTTATTTTAGTCAATTTTTTTTCTCTCTCTCTTAACTGATTTTTTTTTTTTTAAGCAAACTTCAGACCCAGACACACAGGACTCAGCGGTATATTCCTGGAAGGCAAGGTAAACTGTTTTGCACTTTTAAAACTCTTAAAGTGAAGAATTCAAAGTTCTTATTCATCAGATGCTGGGCTGCAACTTCAATAGCTAAAGCAAATTCCTATTCTGAAAAAGAAATAGGTTTTAATGTGTCTCTTGGAAGACGGCCAGAGCAGCATTCTGCAATTCTAGGAAATTTGACAGCTTGCAGAAGCGGCTCTGTACTTGACATTTTCTGCAATTTGATGGCAAATTTAAAAGATCAGCATTTAATCAACAAAGCTGATTTTATCTTTTCCTAAAGAATCAGTAAAATTTATTTTGTCCCTTATTATTAATCAACTTAACTAAATATACATTGATCAGAATGTCACTATTTTAGCTATATATATTATATGTATATAATTATATGTATATAATATATAATGTATTTTCTATAAATATATGATTGAGATATTTGCTGTATATACTTCCCGTTAAAATTGTTCTTTGTACTCATAATCTTTAATGATATTCAGGGAGTGGGCTTATGTATCAAATATCAGTAAATGTACCAAATATCAGTGAAGTTCAAATGTGTCAAATATCAGTAAAGTTAATCAATTTCTTATTATCCACTCTGAAAATATGGATATAAAAGAATTCTCTACCTGCTTCCAAAATATGATTTTTTTAATCAGCCATAATAATATTATAGTTCAATATATTACTGACAATTGTGATACACATCACAATGTATTCATTCCCTTATAATAAACTGTCTTTATATACACACATATATAGAGAGAGTTTGTACTTCAATTTCTTGGCTAAACAATTTGACTATATACTTAATAATTATAGAAGTTGTTTCCCCCAAAATAAAACTTACCTGAGAAGTTGAGCTACAGAACAATGGATTAATCACACACTTTTCTTCAGATCTTAGAACGTTTCTTCACAATAAACTGCTAAAATATTCTTTGATCGCTTCATTACTTTGGTTCAGGGCCAAAAGGCCTGGGGAATCTCACCCAGATGTTCTGCTCATTTAGGAGTGAAAGTAAAAACAGATGCCAACCTCTTACAAACAATGTAGACGCTCCATATGCATTATTAAAAAATCACTTTTTTTGTACTCTTGTATTCAACTACTGATTTCAGTTCAGTTCTTTAAATTAAATAGTCTGAAATGGAAAAAACACTTGCAACTGCTAAAATTCCCTTTCCATTTCTCAGCTCGCATTGTGATTTGGGAAAAAGCTACAAGTAGGCGAATTAGTTCCAATGTTTGCAAAATGCTTTGCATATAGTGCCTTCTAAATAAATGAATAGTAATTGATATCTGTACATGAAATGTTGGCAAATTTCCACCTCTTTCCCAAGGAAGTAATTTTTAGTGATCATTTTGAAACATACAATTATCTTTAGGTTGGGATCTTCAAATAACTAACAGTTGTGTCCCTTATTCTGTAGGTGCTGCAATGGCGCCCACCATCTCTTTTGTAATCTGTGTGTTATTCATAACAGACACCGTATGGACTCGAAGTGTGAGACAGGTCTATGAGGTTCAAGATCCAGAGGACTGGACTATGCTTGACTTCGATTGTCCCATGGAGTGTTTCTGTCCCCCAAGTTTTCCTACTGCTTTATATTGTGAAAATCGAGGGCTCAAAGAAATTCCTGCTATTCCTTCAAGAATCTGGTATCTTTATCTTGAAAACAACCAGATAGAAACGATTCCTGAAAAGCCATTCGAGAATGCCACTCAACTGAGATGGATAAATCTAAACAAGAACAAAATCACCAACTATGGAATTGAAAAAGGAGCACTAAGCCAGTTGAAGAAGCTGCTTTTCTTATTTCTGGAAGATAATGAGCTAGAAGAAGTACCTTCTCCATTGCCAAGAAGTTTAGAACAACTACAATTAGCTAGAAATAAGGTGTCCAGAATTCCTCAGGGGACCTTCAGCAATCTGGAAAACCTGACCCTCCTTGATCTACAACACAATAAATTAGTAGACAATGCCTTTCAGAGAGACACCTTTAAAGGACTCAAAAACCTCATGCAGCTAAATATGGCCAAGAATGCTCTGAGAAACATGCCTCCAAGATTACCAGCCAACACGATGCAACTTTTTCTAGACAACAATTCCATTGAGGGAATACCAGAAAATTACTTTAATGTGATTCCTAAAGTAGCCTTTCTGAGACTAAATCATAACAAAATATCAGATGCAGGTATCCCATCAAAAGGTTTTGATGTGTCATCCATTCTAGATCTTCAATTGTCTCATAATCAACTCACCAAAGTTCCCCGAATCAGCTCTCAACTCCAGCACCTTCACCTCGATCATAACAAAATCAAAAGTAAGTAATTATCAGGGAGTATCTTCAATTAATATACTCATGGTTGTTAAACATAGTTTATATCTTTATTAAGACTAGAAATTGTGTTGACTTTCCCAACATGTGTCCTTAGGCTTTTAATATTTTCAATATTAGATTTTGTCTAGTCATAGACAGTATTCATCAACCAAGAATTCCAAATTTTCACATTGAAGACTGGATAGTGGACTTTAGCAACCTACAGAGGGCCATTATGTATGGGAGAAACTAAATGTTTCTATATTCTTTTGGTCAAGATGATTTCTTTCTGCCTTAGTAGACTTATGAGACTTGAGAAAACAACCTCATGACTACTGATGGAAATATGATTTCAGGTGTATTAGGAAGATACCTCTGTCCTAAAAACTATGCCTGAACCTCCCCTAATTGTAGTCTCTAATTAAATCCCATCATTGTAGTGGGATTCTCAAACTTCAGTGTGTACATATTGGTGGCTACACTCCCAGAATTTTTGACTCAGTATACCTGAGGTGAAATCTGATAATTTTCATTTGTAACAAGTTCCCAGGTGACACTCATATTGATTATCTGGAAACCACACACTGAGAACGTCTACTGTCTTTGAAAGCTTTATTAATTATAATGAAAACAAATTGTCCTAGATGCTGGCAACTCCTTGGGACATATTGCTAATCATGAAGGTAGAATATTCTCTCTTTTCCTGAAAATAGCTTCTGATAAGAGAGTGAAGTTTGAGTGCAAAGAGAAACCATCATGGGAAGAAGTGGTTATAGAAAGTAGAGGCTGGAGACATTAAAGACAAACTTGGCATCTTCATAATTGTGCCTGAAACCAAGCTAGGTCTGATGTAGAAGTGAGTCACACCTTGGTCTCTCCACAGGGTAGGATTCTCAGACTGGAAGTTATCTAGGCATTTTCAACACCAGTATACACTCTTTTTAGAAAAATAACCTTGGGAAGATTTTTCCTGGACTACCTAAAAGAATACATTCCTAAATGAGATTCAGTTGGAATGGTTTGTAAGAAAGTAACAGAGATAATTGTCAAAGGTTGTGCTGCCTGGTTACTACTCACTAAAGTTTCCTTTAAGCACATAATCACAAAAACATCATTTATAAGAGCAGACTATTTTTCCATTGAGTACTGCTTAGTTATTCCAATTTTTTTTTCTTTTTTTTAAAATAACAGTGCACTTGAGCATACAATCCAGGAATGAAGAGGCGAACTGCCCCCACAGCAGTGATTTTTCCATGGTCATGAAGCATATTGCTTAATACTGTAGTCCAAAGTAAAAAATGCAACAGAAAAAAAATTGTTGAGAGATGAATCTGTTTAGTTAAACCAAGTGGCACAACAATCAATATTGACCTAAATATCCAATTTTGTTTTTATTGGTGAGCATTCAGTGCTTCTACGGATACAATCCTTATCTGACAACAAAAGTCCCAAGACAATGGATGTGGGTAGTTAATTTCAAGAGATTCCATAAAGATTCCTGTTTGTAAATTGAGGATTCTAGCTTGAGAATTTGTGAATGAGAGTGTTTAGGAGGGAGGGAGCAATATTTAAAACACAGTTGAGAAGTATATGACACTATCCTTTCTCCATCTACATTTAAGAGATTTTGCAAAGTGTTTTCTCATACATTTCTATTTTTCTCATATCTTAGCATGCATCAGAATCACCTGAAGTGCTTATAAAAACACAGGTTGCTGGGTCCTAGCTCCAGAATTTCTGACTTGGTAGGTCAGAAATTCATGCTGCTTGGTAGGTAGCATTCATGTGCCGACCCAGTCTTCGAGAAGAGAAGCACTAATCAATCCTTACAAGATCCTTGTGTGAAATCCTTAGGAATTTCTGAAGAAAGGATTACAAACTCAACTAGGTAAAGATATTTGCCTAAGGACAGAGTAAATACAATAGTCAGGGCCTAAGTCTAGGACTTTTCATTTTAAGTGAAAGTGTTATATATCCCCACACAATATAAGAATTACACTTTTCTTCAATCCTCTGAATACTAAAATCTAGAAAAAATTTCTATCAGTAGAACAGCAATATTAACAAAGAGAAAATGACTTATTTGCTTCCTAATGTAGATATGAAACATGGCCATTTCTATATTTAGGTAAATAAATGTAAAATAATAATTGCTCTGTGTATAATTGCTGATTAACAAGTATATGATACTGTGTTATCAATGTTAAAGTGCTTGGTTCTTCTTGCTACATAATCTTCTCTAGTTGTTAATAAAGTGGTTTCTAAGAAACGTATCTTTAATATAAAAATTTCTCAAAATGTATAGGAGAGTGAACTTTTTTCAACCAATATAATGGAAAACTTTATTTCTTCTGCACTCTTTAAGAGACTTTAGATTTGGGAGAATGTTATTTATTCAAGTATGTGATTTCCTGGCATTTTCTGAAAAACACCATAACTAATTTATGAAATGTAATAAATTTTAAAACACTTGTTTCTCATATTCATTTATTTAGAAATGCATTGATTTTGGGACATGAGAGTGATAGGATAAAGCAATAGTACCTTTGAAAGGGACATACTCTCTCCGGTAGGCAAGGAACCCTGTGTGGAAAGAAAAGAAATAGGCTGGCCTCAGTTCTGCCACTTACTTGCTGAAATACCTTGAGTACATTTCCTTACCTCTCTGAACCACTGTTTTCACAATGTCCAGGTGGGGAGATTAAAAATGATAATGATAAAACAATAATAATAATAATGATAAGTGAGTTGATAAGGTGATGATGTACATTAAACAAACAAAAAAAAAAAACTTTATAGCCACAAAACTGCTATACAAATATAAGTCGTCATTTTTATTAAGTTTAATTCACAAAATGGCATCAGGTCAGGGCAAGACAACTTTGCTGTAAGCATAAAGTTATTCAATACAATATGAATCTGTATGAAACAACGGGACACAGAAGCAGGCATTGTCCCAGTCAGGTGGGTCTAATCAGGGCTGATTTCTTGCTCAGAACAGTTTTGAAAAGGGGTTTTAAAATGGTATGTGAATTCTTGGTTGAGATATGCTGCTACGCACTTCCCTGAATTTTGCTAGTTTAACAGGCCTTTTTTTCTGAATGTTCCTAAATTCAGTATAGTCACTGATGCCAAGGGCTCTGATCCAAGGCAGGTGCGCAATTTCTCTCATTCTTTGTGAAACGGTTGATGGGATATTTTCTGGCTTGAATTCTTTGTAATTCAATTCTTGGCAAATGTTTCCTTTCCAATTAAATACACTTAAGTATGACTATTCAAGGTTGTTTTCTTTAAGTGTTACATATGTAAAGTTATGTTAATTGTACTCTTTTAAACATGTCATCAGACACTATTTTGCATCTCTTAAGGTAATTTTCAAGCACTTCCTCTTATGCTAAACTGATTGTCTACCTATCCATTACCCATCCATCCATCCATCCATCCATCAATTATACTTTTTAAAACAAGTCATCAGACAGTTTATTGTGTTTTATGGTAACCGTCAAGCACTTTCGCTTGTATTAGACTGATTATCTACCTATCCATCCATCCATTCATCCATTTATCCATCCATCTACTCATGTACTTAAACATTCTTTCAGTACCAGGTCTGAACTGTTGTCTCGACCTCTAAAGCCTAAATATTACCTGTCTCATCCTACAGTAATGTAAACATGTCTCACTTGCAAACATAGAAGACAAGTGACATCTTAGACACCTTTGTTTCCATCACATTATTTCCTTTCTAGTGTTCTATACTAAGGATGCCAGAACATGGAATGAGATGACTATATATTGGCTCCACATTTTTCAGGGTTACTTTTATACAATAGGCACAATCTATAACTGACACAAAAACGGTTTGCATTGCTACCCCTTCATGCATTAGGCCACTACGACCTTCACAGTACTGCTGGAATTGCTTCTTACTCTTCCTACCTTGGCTGGGTGTGGTGGCTCAAGCCTGTATCCCAGCATTTTGGGAGGCCGAGGCAAGAGGATTGCCTGAGTCCAGGGGTTCAAGACCAGCCTGGGCAACTTGGTGAGACTTCATCTCTACAATAAATCAAAAAATTAGCTGGGTGTGGTGGCACATGCCTGTAGTTCCAGCTACTTGGAAGGCTGAAGCAGAAAGATTGCCTGAGCCCAGCAGGTCGAGGCTGTGGTGGCCGTGAGCAGCATGCCACTGCACTCCAGCCTGAGCGACAGAGTGAGAATCTGACTCAAAAAAAAAAAAAAGAAAAAGAAAAAGAAAAAGAAATCTTCCCATCTGTACTCTCTCTTGTGTTTCAGTGCATTTCTTTATGCTATCATGTCTCCATAGGTGTGAACGTCTCCGTAATATGTCCCACAACATCCGCACTGTCTGCTGAACAAGATTCCTTTGGTTATGGACCTCATCTTCGCTACCTTCGTCTGGATGGAAATGACATCAAACCACCAATCCCAATGGATTTAATGAACTGCTTCCGGCTTCTTCAGGCCGTCATTATTTAAACACATCTGTATCAGATCTAAAATTGGTTTAATGAATTAATGTATCTGACATGAAATTTGGCTACCATTCATATGCTTAGTGCAAAAGTCACATTTCCAATTGTTCTTGGCCAGCAATTTCATTTGTGCAGCTGATTGTTTTTATTCAGAGATGCTTTTGCCAATGACACGTAGCACAGCCTGTATTAATTTGCTTTTCTTTTAATTAATAAAACAGACACAGAGTTAAGATAATTTATCAACTCAAAGGCACTTATTGTTGTCTCTTTCACAGCTTATTAATTATACAAAATAATACAATTATATTGTTATGCAATAAAAGAAGTTATTTCTTTGTATATATCCAAAAATACTTCTGCATATACCATATTTACAGTATAAATACAGTAATCAAATAGTAGGTACAAAGATCTGAAGAAAATGAAAAAAGTGAGTTATTTCTTTACCATAATGAATAAATTCAGAATGCTAAGTAGCTTTTGGAGCTACAAGTTTGCTAATTAATTTGAGAATGGCTAGCAAATGAGTCAAATATTTTATAGCAAGAGAATTTGAGACATTAATATCAAATTACAAAGCAATAGTTATTTCTAGTGTCCTACCATTTCTTGTAGCAGTTCTTTTAAGATATATGCAACGATATTCTAGCAATTAAATATGACCTACATTTTTCATTTATTTTAATGCATTTCTCACAGAATCGTAGTGGTTTAACACTTGAAATTCATTTGAATTGCAAATTGTTCAGCTCTTATATTTGACTGTGTTTCTTGGGGGAATTTCCTAAATAAAATTAGTAAATGCTTTCTAACAAAACAGAAGTAAAATATTTATTTGAAAGGTATTATTCACAAGTATCATTTATGAACATCTTTTAATAAAAAATGTTATGGTAACAATTCTTTCCATTTTTCTAGTATAAATTATTTAAATATGTCTTCCCCACCTTGATTTTTCTTTCCTTCCAGTAAACAAAAAAATTTTATACTCTAATCAGGTGACATACAAGGTGTCAGATTCTCTTAAGTTTTAAAAACCCCAGAATTTTATTATGTAGCAAAGTACTGCATCCTGACTTTAGCCTTCTGATCTGGTAAGGCATATGTTTTGAGCAATCAATGCCATATAACGATGAATACATTCTTTAATATATGTTTTTCAAACAGTATTCTGAAAAATCCTGTAAAATTAGATATGTCTTCCTAGATAAAAGGATTACATATGTTTGTAAAACACTAGTGCTAAAAATGTCAAGTGAATTACTCCAAAGCTTCTCAGAAACTTAGCATGGTATTGCGTAATGTGAATTCCAAAAAGAGATGATAATGTCCTATATGACCTTATTTCACTCCAAAACATACTTGACTGCGAGGAAGAAGAATCAGCCAACAAATTTTGAACACAGCTTTTAAAATGCTGGGTAAAGGCAAGAAATCAAATACTTTCAGAAAAAAAAAATGTAAAAGGCCTCACCTCAAAGCACAAATATAAAATTATGTCATATAAAATTAAGTCATAAAAATAAAATAATTAGTTGTCATTAAACAGTGTCACCAGTACCTGACACATGGAAAAATATATTGAGAGGAACATAATACTCATAACTTTAAATATTGAAAACTTGCCATTTGCAAAGGGGACAAACATATAGCACTAAAATGAAGGCTAGAATATACATTAATTATACCCACCAGTGGAAGCAACTTTTCATGAAGCAGATCTCGTTAAGCAGAGTCACTCATCTATAGAATTGTTCAAATAGAGAATGATTGGTGATTCCAGAGGAAGATTATAAAAATTATTCCTAATCAGAAGCAATGTTGTTGTGAAATGTTCCTTTAGACCTTTTCAACTCTATAAATTTTCTTCCTTTTTTTGCTACCTTTTATATTTTATTTACTTTAAATATTTTTTCGTACCTTATATATACTCATATATTTGACTATTCTGTACACAGTATATATAAAATTGTTCACAGTTTATATTATAGTGGGTGAGACAAATCAAATGAATAATCACAAATTATATGTAAGATCTTATATTTGATAAATGTTATTAACAGAAACCTGCATGACGAAAATACAATAATAAGGGCCGGGCATGGTGACTCAAGCAGGTAATTCCAGCACTTTGAGAGGCCAAGGTGAGAGGACTGCCTGAGTCCAGGGTTTCGAGACCAGGCTGGGCAACTTGGTGAGACCTCATCTCTGCAATAAATTTAAAAAGTTAGCCAGGCATGGTGTCATGCACCTATAGTTCCAGCTACTTGGAAGGCTGAGGTGGAAGGATCACCTGAGCCCAGCAGGTCAAAGCTGCGGTGGCCATGAGTGTGCCACTGCACTCCAGCCTGGGTGACAAAGTGAGACTCCAACTCAAAAAAACAAACAAAACAATAATAATAATGATTTGATAGAAAGACTTTCTAAAGATAATGATTAATAAAAACATAAAAGATTAAACATATTTAATAACACAAGGTAGAAGGGAAGAATATTCCAGGCAAAATTTAAAGATTCTGTAGTCTCTAGCCATAATTTTAAAGTCACCAAAACATTTTAAATTAGAAAGGATGTTCATTTCAAGGTAATAACGTCTCAGTGAACAAGTATGCTCATCAAGAACATAATACTCAAACTTAAATTGCTAAGTGCAAATGCCAGTTTCACCACTTACTATCTTTGGGGTCTTGGGCAGTTTTTAAATTCTTGATGCCTCAGTGTCACTTCATCTGTAAAATGGGGACAAGTAATAAATGGCCATCTATCTTATTAAATGAGTTAGAATATGAGAAGTGCCTTGAACAGTGCCTGACACATGGTGAGTACTATTATTATTATTATTATCGTGGGCATAAGTATATGTGTATATGCATGTGTTTCTTCTTGGCACCGTTAGCTAAACAATTTGGAGGAAACCAACAATGGGTGTGAGGAAATCAGTTCAAATTTAATTCTTACTGTACAAGTTTGCAAAAAAGAAAAAAAAAAAAAGAGTTCGGAGTATAAAGTCCTGGCAGAAATATAGAGAAGTGGACAAATACAAGAGTATTCGGAGGTAAAATTGTCAATATTTGGTCATGAGTTATGTAGAGGGGAGTAAAAGCAAGGAGGGTGTTGAGGTTTTTGACTTGCTCTATAGGATAGATGGCAGTGTATTTTTTTTTTTCATTAATCACTATTTTTTATTATGGTTTTGTGGGGTACAGTTAAGGGTTAGGTGTACAATGACGTTTCATTCAGGCACCCTGTAGATAAGAAATGTTTTCCCATCTCCCGACAGATATTTGCTACTGTTAATCCCATCCCCCTCCCCCCCATAGTTTCCCAGTACCATCAGTCATTTTCTTATAGTATTGCATTAGATGTTCAAGGTCCATTATATGAGTGAGAACATGTGATATTCGGATTTTTGTTTTTGTGAGAGGTCACTCAGTATTATAGACTCTAGTTCCATCCAGGTTGCAGCGAAATTTATGATTTTGTTCTTTTTATGGCTGTGTAGTATTCCATCGTGTATATGTACCACATTTTTTTAATCCAGTCCTCTTTTGATGGGCAGCATGGTTGTTTCCAGGTTCTTGCTATGTGAACAATGCTGCGATAAACATACGTGTGCAGGTATCTTTTTTATAGAGTGATTTGTGTTCTTCAGGGTATATTCCCAGTAGGGGGATTGCAGGGTCATATGGAAGGTCAATTTTTAGAGCTTTTAGGAATCGCCACACTGCTTTCCACAGAGGTTGCACTAATTTACACAGACACTTCACAAAAGAAGACATTCGAGCAGCCAACAAACACATGAAGAAATGCTCAACCTCACTAATCATCAGGGAGATGCAAATCAAAACCACACTGAGATACCACCTAACTCCAGTCAGAATGGCAATTATCAACAACTCAAAAAATAACAGCTGCTGGAGAGGGTGTGGTGAAAAGGGAACACTTCTACACTGTTGGTGGAAGTGGCAGTGTATTTTTAAAGAGAGACACCCTCAGAAAAGACCTGGGGTTTGTTTTTAAACACAGTTTGAGTTTGTTCATATTCAAATATGAATATTAGATAGATATAAGTACTTAAAATTTAATGTGCTCTAATAACTGTGCATTGTCTGACTCATCCATGAGGAGAGGCCATGTGAATTGTTGAATGAGGTCTAGAGTTAAAGAAGAGGCCTGGATGGATACAGACACATTTAGGTGCAATTTTCTAGATTTTGTTAGTCTATTCAATAATTTTGGAAGAATTCTGCATTTAAATATTCCTATCCCCATGATGTAAGACTGGTCAGGTAGAGGAGACAAATTAGGAAACCACAGGCATTATTTCTTTTCTTTTTTTTTTTTTTTTTTGAGTTGGAGTCTCACTCTGTTGCCCAGACTGGAGTGCAATGGCCGCTCCCGGCCATCGCAGCCTCGAACTGCTAGGCTCTGGGGATCCTTCCGCTTCAGCCTTCCGAGTAGTCGGAATTACAGACGCGCGCTACCACACCCGGCTGATTTTTTGATTTATTGTAGAGATGAGGTCTCGCTGCCCAGGCAGGTCTCGAACCCACGGGCTCAGGCAATCCACTCACCTCAGCCTCCCAAAGGCTGAGATTACAGGCTGAGCCACCGAGCCCGGCAGCATTATTTCTAGTATTGACAAATGAAGCTGTCTACATACAATTCTTTTTTTTATGGCAAATTCCATATATATAAAGGTTCTCTATAGTTTTCAGATAATATGTCATTCTCTTTCTTGATGTCTTATACAATGAGACTATTACTTTAAAAATTTAAGAGTAATAACTAGGTGATAAACTCAAACCATTTTGTAAATTATGGTCTCTTAACAAATGCTCACTACTTATGAGGATTTCAATCCTTCATTTTAATCTCTAATTAAAACCCAAAACAGAACAAAATAATATTATCTATTATATTTCCATAGCAATACCATGAACTTAATTCATAGGCAAGAAAAAAATGGCACAGATCAAAGAAAAGGAAGTATACACACAAGAATAAAGATACTTTTGGTGGTAAGAAAATCACCAAAATTCTGTGACAGAATTTTATTTAATATTCTCATATCCCCTTTAAAAAATAATCCAGGTAGAATAACTGGTATGGTGGAAGAAAATTTCCAGATGATACTCTTGATGAAACTGATGCCAAATAACTGAGTGTAAATTGTGTGTGTGTGTGTGTGTGTGTGTGTGTGTGTGTGTAAAAGACAGCAGAAATAAAGTATTTTTCCTACTTAC